AAGGAGAAAAAGAGATTGTGGGTTTTACATGCTTGAAAATGCTTTATATGTTTGCTTTTATTTTTAAATTTTCATTTGAATATGCTTTACATGTTATGTTTATGTAWTTTAATTTTAGATAATAGGTTTTTTAAAACATTTATTTTAAAATTTAAGTTTATATTTTTTATTAACATTATGTTTAATATTTTTTTGAATTTTTTTAAAATTTGTGGCATTTTTTTAAATTTTCTGATTTTTTTTTTATTTTTTAGCTTTTTTTTTATTTTGCGCCTTTCTTAAAAAGGCGTGCGCCTTGCCTTGCGCCTTGTGCCTCAGGCGCAAATTGGCCCTTGCGCTTTTTTTGTGCCTTGTGCTTTTAAAACACTGGGTCCTACATCAGTTTGGTATCAGAGCTAATGGTTTATTCACTATGTTCTCACAAAGTGATCGATTCTATAGGCCTAGGCATCTTCTAGACAATCTTACAGGTTTAGAGTCAATGATGATTGGGTTTCTGAACCATACAAAGGGTCTTTGGTTGACTTGTTTGAGAAGATGGTGGAAGAAAGTAGATTCAATAATGTTGGCTATGGGAGTAAGGTTTTCAAACATGTTAGAAGAGAAAGGGAAATACCAGATTTCAAAGGAGATGATGATCCACAAGCATTCTTTGATTAGGTTACTAAACTAGAATATTTTGATAGGCATGATATGTTTGACAAACAAAGGATTAGATTTGCGTGCATGAAGTTGACGGGTCATGCAAAAGTATGGTGGAGAACTGTTGAGCAACAACTAGAAAATAGAAGTGATGATCCAATTAGTACATGGGCAGAGATAAAGAGGTGTTTGCAAGAAAAGTACATCCCACTAGACTTCCATGATGATCTACATATGGAGTTGACTAATTTCGAGCAAAAGAAGAGACAACAGGTTACAACAAAGAACTTGAAGTCAAGGGGAAGAAAGTATAAAGTTGAAAAGAAAGTAGATGATTCCTTACATGTTGATGTCTATCCTAGAGCTGAAGTTGAGGATGAACCTAAAGAAGAAGAATTTCAAGCTATAAAAGTTGTAGATATTAAAAATCAAGAGGATGCAAGCCAAGAAAAAATAGAAATTGTTGGAGTTTCCAACACCCATTGTCAACTTGAGGTTAATGATCAAGAAGAAATCAATGTTTTAAAACGCAGAGGCGTGGCGCAAGGCATTCCACTACCTAGAGGCGTGAGGCGTAATTCAAAACGCAAGAGGCGTAAGCCTCCCGAACACAAGGAGGCGTAAACCTTCTTAAGAGGAGGGGGGTTAGGAGGAGGATAAAGAGGAAGGGGGATCTCATTTTTTTTCTTTATTTTTAATAAAAATCTTTTATATTAAGAAGAATAAAGATGCATAATAGTAGTTCGAAGGGGCAGGGAGCAAAACATTTTCTTCCCCCTTATCTTTTCTTCCCTTCCCTTTCCTTTTCTTTTCTTTCCTTTTCTCTTTTTTTCTTCTCTTTCTTTTTCTTTCCCTTCCCTTTCCTTTTCTTTTCTTTCCTTTTCTCTTTTTTTCTTCTCTTTCCTTTCCTTTTCTTTCCCTTCCTTTTCTTTTCCTTTCCTTTCCTTTCCTTTCCCTTTCTTTTCCTTTCCTTTCCTTTTCTTTCCCTTTCTTTTCCTTTCCTTTCCTTTTCTTTCCCTTTCTTCTCTTTTCCTTTCCTTTCCTTTCCTTTCCTTTTTTCTTTTTTCTTTTTTCTTTTCTTTTTCCTGTATTTTCATATCAAGTGTGCATGAGGCGCAAGAGGCGTACGCCTCCGAGGTATCAGTGTCTCTAGCACATGCCTCAGGGCGTTTTGGGAGCACCTCGCCTGGAGGCACACCTCCAAGCGTACGCCTCCCACACCTTTTAAAACACTAGAAGAAATAGAAGTGGAGCAAGTTAAAGAAATTCATGTGCAAGATACAAATGTGTTGGACGTAGTAAATCCTGGTAAGTAAGTGGCTTTACCTTTCAAGTTCAACTAGAACTAGTTCAAGAATTACAACCTGACATAGCACAAGTTCCACCAACATCAACAATGGAAGGAGTCCTAGAGCTTGTTGAAGAACCACGGATAGCAGAACACATAGAGATGGTGATTCTTAATCTAGAGGTTGAAGGAAAAGTTCCAAATGTTGTAGCTAAGGGTTTGGATAAGCAAAGGGAAGATTCATCACAATAGTTGGTTAATGAATTAAGTGTTCAAGAAACTAATGTTATTGATTATTTAACAAAGATGGTTATGGAAGGCAATGTTTCAAAAATACATTTCTTTCAAGATCCTTTACTAGTTCAGTGTATGGCCTTTACATTCCAAGCATGTAGCTGTGGGAGGTCCTAGTCCTTTTGTAATTATGGCATATCAACTTTTCATCCTCAAGTTCTTCAAAACTTGAGGACGATTTTTTTTTTAACCTGGGGTGAATGGTGCAGGATCTGAAGAGTCAAAATTGGAATTTTATGAAATTTTATGTATTTTTGTATTTTTGGAGAGTAGGGGTATTTTGTCATTTTGCAATTTCTGTGGGATCCAATGATAGGGTTTAATTTGTCTAGTTATAGTTTGCTTATGTTTAAAAGTTCAGAGTCATTGCATAAGTAGGATTAGAGTTATTGAGACTTCTTTGAATTGAAATAGGATATGATAGCTTAGTTTGAGTCCTACTAGGATTATCAAGTCTAACGGTTTGACTCCTAGGATTATTATGAGTTTAGAGTCTATAAATATGTATGAGTGTTTTACACAAAGGCAATGAAGTTTATCGACTTTTCTTCAGCTTATGCTAGCTATGGTGAGTGATTCCCATGCCCTAGAGTGATTCTAGGCACCCTGTGAGTGATTCCAAGTATTTTCTCTCTTCTCTCTCCTTATTTTCTCTCTTGTACCTTCAAGAAGCCATCAACAGCCATAAATTTCTGATCAAGAAGACCATTCAACACTCTTTAAGGACTAGAACTGAGCTGGTCCTACATCACATTATCTTGATTTGAACAAAAGAATGAAATACCTTGCCTTTTTCTCAAAAAAAAAAAAAAAAATCTATGCATTAAACTGAAACTAAAAAAGAGGGGAAAACACATCAACATCACAAACCTTTCTTGCCTTCACCATGCCCTTTGGCCATAGCAAGAAGCTCCTTTCTGTTCTTCCCTACAACATGAGACATGTCCTACAAAGAATTACAAAAAGTCAAATACATAAGTACTAACGCCAAACAGTCAAATATGTTGGTATGAGATAACTGATATTATACCGGGAGAGGAAAGCATGGAGAATTCATGTATGTGGTTGAATAATGGTCAATACATTGTGCTTTGTTCTTTGTACCAACATGCTCTGCAACTTCTGCCCAATTGCCAAGTCCATACATTTCAATTCCCTATACATAGGATGCCACACAAATTTTAAGGCTATAAGTTCCCAAACAGCATTAATTCTTCAAATCCCAGTTGAAACAATGTGCTAATTGACCAGATTTAACATATGCCAATTCAGGAGAACCTGAAAACCAGCAAACAGTCAATAATGAAGTTGGACTAAAGAAATAGAAATACCTCTAGCAGCAGTATCTCTTCATCTGCATTCCAATCTGGACAAATCAATGGAAAAGATAAATTGTCCTGTTCAACAAAATGCATGAAGAAAATGTGAATGTAATTGATATATATTCTGAAGTATTGTTATGATTTTTTTTTCAATTAGTTATGTAAACAATATTTTTACATGAGATAGTTTTTATCTAAACTTATTTCACTAGCAAGTTGGTGATCCAAAAAGAACTTAAATCTGTAGATCATTATGTGTACAAATTCTGCAGATATTTCTTTTGTTGCTAAAATAGCCAAAGGCCCACACAAATGGAATGTTTTAACTGGCAATAATGAGCAATAATTGGTATTATATTTTTCTAAAGTCATAGAGTTACCAACTTATAAAGGCTGGTATTGCCCAACAAGAGTGGTCCAGCAGGTATGGTTGAACTCACAGGCGATTGTGCAAAAATTGCCCACTGAAAACACCCTTTTTTTTTCAAATGCACACTTTATAAGTTGGTAAAGTCTCATTGTTTAAATCAGAAGCATTGGGTTTAAAATCTGTTTGCATCTTTGATTTATTGATCACTTTAAAAACAGAATCATTAGGCAGCAATCAAATCTAAATAGTAACCTAATTGCTAAGTTCATAAACTCATTAAAGTTCATTTGAATTACGCACAGATCTAGGTTTTAAAGCCATGTCAGACTGATCCAAAGTCCAAAGGTGTATATGTTATAACACCAGGAAATGGTTACAATCCCACAAGAAAACAATTGGGTTTACTCCGTGGAAACACCAGAAGTTATGCCAGCCTAATAATTGGATCAAACCAATACTTATAAAAAAAAGGACCAAACCAATAGCCAAATTGGTTGATGGCACACAAGCAACAATGAAAATACACCAGCTCCATCCCAGCTTATCCAACAAAAATATGGTGGATATCAAAAAGACAAAGGTTGTATGCATGGTGAGACTAACCATAACCCTGTATGGGTGATTACTTTTATGAGGTGTGACCTCAGCTCCAACAGAGAAGCACTCCACGCATAGGTCAAAATCAGGGCACTTTACACATTTGATTCGAATCTTCCCAGAAATATCTTTGTTGCAATAATTGCAGTGGTATAAAGCCCTTTTTCCTTCATTTGTTCCTTGGCCTTTCTCAACAACAAATCGAGCCAAAATTAGAAATGATAGACAAATAATAAATAACTCATTGATGTCATAATGTGAAGTAAATCGTATTTTTCATGAGGGGAAGCCCACAAATGGCATCAGATATGCACCACTTAGCTACCAATCAGCATGTGTTGCATGATCAGACTTAATTGGTATAAATACTGCATGCTGACAGTTCTATGCTTCTAGTTGAATTGCATTTGGAAACCCAAGAATCAAACAAAATTTAATTATTGGATAGACTATAAAGATGGTTATCGAAGGTCATACACAAGGCAGGGTAGTGGCACTTGGAAAATATACTGATAACAAAAGAATAATTCAGATAAAGCAAAAGAGAACTCAATTGGATGATTAAAGCCGTCAAATCCATTATATTTTTGCTGATCTAACACCCCTTCAAAACCAATTGTACTTTGACTATAGGTGGTGCACAATCCCAATTTAAAGACTGCGACTGCATCCTCCTACTACCTCAAATGAAAATAGCATGGATTTTCACCGTTCAGATTCAGAAGAACAAAAACATACCTGTAGTTGCAGACTCTAGATTTTCTCCACTTGAAGCAACTCTTTTTCTTTTTGACCTACTAAATGAATAAAGCAGTGCATTTCAGATAGAACCAATCAAACTAGAACTAAGCAAAAATAGTGGAAATCCTAAGCAATCTATATTTTTAAAGTTCCACATAGTATCTCAAGTACAAAGTAAAAACATGGGAAAGGTTTCAGTAGACAGGCAGATTGGTATTAAGCCACCTATTCTACCTAGAGAAACACTATTGCACATGTGGTCCCATAGTGAAACAGTGAAATAAACAGAACCTCGGAACGTGATGCCGCTTTGACACCTTTTATGCCCTTGTTATTTACAGAACCAGGAAAAGAAAGGTCATTAGCCAATGCTAGTTCCAGCTATCCAGGATCTTGAGAGGGTGGATTGGATACTGACCTAACCTCCAGATATTTTAGCACAAGGTGGCTGCTCTCAGGTTTGAACCCACATTCTCATAATTGTCAGCTCATGAGTTTGGCAACATACCAAGTAATGACGCCTTTCTTTCACAGAGCCAAAACTCAAGAAAAATGAACAGGTGGGCAAATACAATGTCTCTCACTCTAACATAGTGTCTCTAATGAATAAGTAGAAATTGGAATCGGTCCCTTGCATAATTGAAAATGTAAGCTTTTATCCATGTGAGTAACCCTTGCAACAGGCAAACAAGTGCCCTTTAAGTTGAATATCAAGAAGCATATGGATATGCATTTGACATGGAATGGAGAGTGTATCTAAATCAAATTAGTACTTTGAACACAGTTTGCTAGATTGGTTATGGAAACATAATTGACAACCAATGAAAGCTCCAATCTATCCACCTGAACAGCCCTTACCAAACAAGATAAAGAATTGGTAAAAAGAATAAAAGGAAAAAAAAAGAAACCTTTTTATGTCCATGAGTCCTTAATTTCCTATATAGTTGATTGACTATTTAGGTAGGCCATAATTTATATTGTGTCTGATTTCCTACATATAAATGCTATAGGAGAGTAAGAAGAGATCAAGCTAAAGGACTCAATGATAGAAATTTAGATGATAATCAAATGAAGATGCAATGCGATAAGTATCCATAACAGATACCTTGAATCACCTATGCAGATAAAAGCAAATAAATACAGTTCAACATCCCCAGGCCGGAGGGTCAAGCAGGATAAAAGGAGTCACCCATACAAGTAAGAATATCACATAGATGTATGTCAGAGGAGGAGCACGTGGTATTGCTTGAGAAAGGAAGTTTCTGGGCTCCATACATATAAATTTACAACTAATCCTCGACCACATAGGATGATTACATATATGTCAGTGTATAATCCGGAGAATTTAGATCAGAAATGAATGATTTTCTGATTTCCCGACAGCCGAGAAAAGCATATAGAATGTAAATAAAAAAGAAAGGCAAAACAAATTGAGACAATTCAAAATGGCAATACAAATGAATGAAAACGTATAACCAAATCATTGAAAACTAGTCATGCAAGTCAGATGCATAAAACCGAACAAGTAGACACCGTGACAGTAAGAATTTCGAAGCACAATCAAACAATAACACATGCATAATCAAAATGAGATGGCCTTCGAAGTAAGAACCCCACCAAAATCAGCTATTAATTTTAGAAAACCTATAGCTCGCTAAGCAAAATCAAAAAGACGAAAATGAAGAAGAACAAGTAGAAGTAACAAGACAGACCTTTGACCAGGATCCTCATCTGCAGAATTGGGAACACCCCGAGAACGTCCCATCTATCTCAGAAGTTGAGAAAACTCAAATGAGAAGAAAATGCGACTTCTTCGTTAGGGAAAATTGGGCCTGGGGGAGCATGGGTTATTAAATAAGAGACTAAAAATACAAAGGAGTGTAAAACCGAAAGGAGAAACCCTAAATTTCTCTTCAACAATATGTAAACGATCATCAAGTAGCGACTAGCGTCTAGCGACATGCATCGATTTCGATAGTTATAGGAGCCTCGAACTGGTCTGACTTGCGCGGGTAGATCGAAGATTCATACTACCTCTAAGGCTCTCATTCGACAAATCATCTTGTCTTACCATGTTGACTGGTGAAAAATGAAAACCAAAAATCCCGACGTGGCTTTTCTTTCGTTTCTTTTTTTCTACTTGTGTGATGGATAAAAATCACGAAAATTATCACAGAAACGAGAGAGAGAGACCGACCGGAGTAGTTCAGACGATTGACCCGAACGGTCCGGTCAACCGCGCTAACTCGCCCTGCATTTTTTTAAGAAAAATTGCTGATTAGTACTCTATACTTTGAATCTACTGCAATTTTGGTCATCAAACTTTAAAATGCATATTTAAACTTTCAAAATGTGATAATCCACTATATGTCATTAACTAGCTGTTAATCAATCGTTAAGTAGCATTTGAAAAAGACACAAATGCCCTTTAAGTGTCATTTAATTTCTTTTATCAATCATCCAAATATTGACAAAAAATTAATAGTCCCAAATCCTTGCCTCTTCTATTCAAGAAAGTTGGGATCACCAAAATGCCTACACAAACATATCCCAATTTGTTTGAATGAAAAAAAAAGGATTTTGGACTATTATTTTTTTGCCAATGCTTGAATGGTTGGTAAAAAAAATTAGATGATACTCAAAGGGCATTTGTGTCTTTTTCAAATGTCACTTAACTGACTGGTTAATAGTTAGTTAATAGCAAGTACTAGATTGTCACGTTCTAAAAGTTTGAGTATTGAATTGTCGCATTTTAAATTTTGGGGATCAAAGTGGCACTAGACTAAAAGTATAAGATACTAATTGAGAACTTTCCCTTTTTTTATTTTTCATTTGTAATTTAATTAAAGAAAAATTCATGCTCAATATCTTGTGCTTTGGCTCGAGTGACAATTTAATCCCCGAACTTTAAATTGCAACAATCTAGTACCTATCGTTAGCTAGTTCGTTAATTAACCATTAAGTGACATTTGAAAAGTCAAAATTGCCCTTACAGTGCCATCTAATTCTCTTTATCAATCATTCAAATATTGACAAAAAATTGAATAGTCCCGAATCCTAGCTTTTTCTATTCAAAAAATTGGTGATTATTTAGAAGAATTTAAAATTTGGAATTATTCATTTTATTGTCAATATTTGAATGGTTGATAAAGAGAATTAGATGATATTCTAAAAGTATTTTTGACTTTTCAAATGTCACTTAACAATTGATTAAGAAACAAATCAACTGCAAGTACATTGTCATATTTTAACAATTCGAATATTGAATTATCACATTTTGAAAGTTCGAATACTTATATGGCATTTTAAAATTTGGAAAACTAATCGTAACTCTGAGCAAAATACAGAATATATCAGAAATTTTCCCTTTAACTAACCTGAACAAGGGGTGCGTCGACCGTAACGTACACCCAACTTCAAGTATAGAGATCGACACTTATGTTGGATAAGATAACGTACCGTCAGTCTCTCCCAGAGTGGAGCTCTCCTCTGTGCTGTCCTCGGCGGTCGAGCAAGTGAGCGAGACAGAGAGTAGAGCGCTCAAATGGCTATCTCGTCAATATCCGCAAACCTTAGCTTTCCTTCATTGCCCAACTCCACCATTTCTACCAAATCGAAAGCGGTAGCTTTTTCTTTACCTTCAAATTTTCTGAAGCTACAAATCCTAAAGGTTACCCGTCCTTCAAGGGTTTTCGCCGCACCAGAGGTTCTTGAGTCTGAAGAAACCCTAGAACCACCTCCAGAAATTATCGATGGACCTAATTCAGACACCATTGAGGTGAGTACTTTGTGCATTTTCTGTCCTTTCCCCAACGCTCTCCGAGTTTCTATCAAAAACAATGTGACTTTTTAATTGTGCTATGATTTACTTTTGGAGGAAAAGAGAGATTTAAAAATTAGTACTTAATTATGTTTCTTCTTAGGTTGGGCAATCTGAGAATCTCGATTCTTTTCCACTCGCCATGGGTGCCGATGTCGATAAGGTATAAAATCTTCATTTATTCAAGGATTCAACTCATTTTTTTTTATATAATGTATTTATATCTTTCTTTCTGTGTCAATTGAAGTGATAGATGAGCAAATAAGTAGAATTCTTTTGTTAATAAGTTGTTCTGCCTTTTACTACTAGAGACTTGTATCCATGGATTGAAAGTTTGATATTGATAATCCCAATAAGCTTCCGAGCATGGAAACTAAGTTAAGCGGTTTGTTGATAGAAAAGCAATAACACTGAAAAATAGACCATATAGCAGAAAATTTTAGGCTTTAGGTACACATCCTTTACCTAGTTGAGCAATATTGGTTGTTGGGGTTATCAACTCGGTAAAGTCTTGCATTCAAATAGGCAGAAGCTGTGGATTGTAGTTGGTTAAGTCCTTGAAACAGCCATAGTTTTGAATTATGGACCAGTTAGTTGAAATCATTTATGTTGAACCACTTCACAAAGTAGGTAATGCTAACGAAACTGCCATACCTTTGTATTAGAAATGATAGCATCTGATATAAGATTGACAGTTTGACACCACTAGCTACCATCCTTGCTTTGTCAACATCATGGTGCAATAGCACAAATTATCTGTTGTTGATAACTTTCATCTCCAGTATTGATCATTTTATGCCTTAAATTTCAAGTTGGTCTTTTTCCAAGTGATAAACTGGTAATCCTGGTGGAGTAGCAATAAAACTTTTCAAGTGGAGTTAGATCTGGGGTGAGCATAAGTGACCTGCTGCTAGTTGAAGGCCTAGAAGAGCTAGGGGCAGGCCAAAATGACAAAGGTTGATGTAGAGTGAAATGATTTGAGGGCCCATAGTTTAAAAATAGATATGACATTCAACAGAGTGGAATATAAAACAGAAGATAATCATTGAAGGCAAGCTCTAGCATTCCCCCCTTTTCCCTTCTTGGAACAATAACAAAATTATATTAATGTAGGGGTCATTACTTGATGTAATGGTAAAATCTCAGGCTGTCAAGTGTTAGAACACAGGTTCAAGTCTGAAAGTGCTCACTTTGTGCCAAAAAAAAAAAAAAGCCAAAGGTTAAGAGACCATATCCACTCCACCCTTCCCAAGACCCCACATAGCTGGAACCTACATTGGGTAACGACCTTTGACATATGGAATGATTTCTTAGTTTCACCAAACCATGTTGTAGCAATGCTATCAAGAAGTTTGTGAATCATGCCTTCGTGGCAGAAAGATGTTAAAGGATTCTTTCCATCTTAAGGTTAAAGCTTAAAATGGTATATCAGTTGGAATTTTCTATAGGGGTTAACAAATGTTACTTATGTGGAAGCTCTATTTTGAACCTTAGATCAGTAGAATGGTACTTTCTGTAGAAGCAAGGCAAGGAAGGTTCTCTGGGTTCATGTCTATCTGATTGGATTTAAGAACTTGAAAATCAGATGGTGGGGATTTGTTCCAAACCCTTCTATCCCAAAAGATGACTTCTCGGACTTGATCATAAAAGGGGATTCCTCTAGACCTCTAGCATAATATAATTAGGCTAGAGGTTCCTATAGGCGTTAGGTGTGTTTTGACATATCTTGAAATTAAATAATTTTTATTTTTGAGGATTTCTGGTTTCATAAAAAGTTTATTAACGCTATTGTATTTTCTCGTAACTTTATGGAAGCCAATGGTTGTTATTGTGGTTTATTTGGACCATCCAAATTAGCTAAATTCCAAAAACTAGGACTGCAAATGCTGTTTGTCCAAATTTGAATTCAAATGCAGATGATCAAGGTATCTGTTTCTGGGGTTTGTCATTTTTGACATGTACAAAACACAAACATTTGCATCTTCTTCCATTGAGCTTTTACTGTAGTTGGCATTAACCATGTAGATGTTCTTCTTTTCCTCAGATGGCGCCAAAGCAAAAGATTAGAATAAAACTAAGGTCTTACTGGGTGCCGCTGATAGAGGACTCATGCAAACAGATAATGGATGCTGCAAGAACAACCAATGCGAGGACCATGGGGCCTGTGCCTCTGCCAACTAAGAAGAGAATCTATTGTGTTCTCAAGTCCCCTCATGTTAACAAAGATGCAAGGTTTCATTTTGAGATTCGGACCCATCAGCGCCTCATTGATATTCTCTACCCAACTGCCCAAACAATAGATTCTCTGATGCAGCTTGACCTCCCAGCCGGTGTTGATGTAGAGGTCAAACTATGATCAAATGTACCAGATGCTCAGTAAAACTCACCATTTCTGTCTTCAGTCAACACCTTCTTACTACTATCTTTCCTAAAATTGTAGCTTGTACCTTTCCTGTCAAGCAACAGTTGTGGGAGAAAGATAGATTGCTGCAATTTTTTTCGTGTTTCAGTCTGACCTCTCTGTATGAACGTTTCATGTTCATATCGCACTGCAACATGAAGACAAGAACACTTATTTCCCTTCTAGATTTTGTTTTCATGTCTTTAAAATTTTAGTATCATCTTTCAATTGTTATTTCCATTCAACAAATTGTATGGCATATATTATGTTAGACTCCAATCCTCGGCATGGGACAGCTGGTGTGTGTCTGTGTGGCAAGTCTCTAAAGCCATAAGGCTGGGTTCTTTAATTGACTTGAAACTTAGGGGCTGCTTGATAACGACTGAAGTGGCTGAATTGGATTACTTATTGCTTTAGTGGATAAAAATAATTAAATAATAAATATTTTGAGGCTACAGTAACCAAACCAACTTCAGCTTTAAAGCTTAGGATAGAGATCAGAACATCCCGAATAACTTATCTCTAAAAGACAAAAAGAAAGAAAAAAAATAGTCATTCAGTTCAGCTATTCAGCTATTATCAACAAGTCCCTAAATTAAATGAGGTTCCATTTATGACTGAAACTTTTTTGCTCCATTAGGATCACATTATTGTAATTGTATTTTAACTGGGGCCCACTTTCTAGTTTCTCCATGGTAACTAGTGAGTCATAAAAAGCCTTGAAGTTGGTTTTTTTTTTCTTAAATGAGGTTTGGTTTTGATTATTAGATATCAACTACCTTTTAAATCACTGTACTGGACCGGAAAAACTGGGAACCGGTCACCTGACCGCTTTTGTTTTCCTCCAAAACTGTTTTTCCCCCCAAACCATTGATTTTGGTCAGCAAACCGCTGAACCGGCTAGTTAACCGTTCAAACGGTTTTGACCATTTTTCAATTTTTTAAATTTTTTAATTTTTGTCAGAACAGGCCAACAGTTCGGATCAAAGGGTTGGACCGCTCGAACTGGTAACTGGACCCCTGACCAGTTCGGTCACCGATTCGTTTTTAGAAACCATGTTTTAAATTGAATGAAGAAACATCTATGTTGAGTCCACATTGTCCAGTCCCTTTGTCTAAGGGGGAGGCCTATCCATGTAATTGGAAGGGCCCTCCTGTTTGAGAGAGCTTTGAACCGGGGCTAATGCAATGGACTTGTAGTACACGTGGCTAGGCTAACTAGAAGATTGATAGGGCCTCTGATATTCCACGTCATGCTCTAATTGGTATTTTCTCACACATTGTCGAGGTTTTCTTAATTAGAGGGCGGATTTTGAATTGTATAGGGACTAGGGTCGTTTTTTGATTCTTTGAAGAAAAGAAAAATCTTGAAACACAATTAGATATTGTTTCACGCACCAAAGAAAGGAAAACAAAACTGATGAAGAGGAATTTGGCCCGACCTCGTAACAAGGAGACACGTGGGCGTGACTCGGCATAAGCGACAATTCAATATGACCAGATCGGCACGTGGACGTGACTCAACACAAGTGGCAGATCAGTTCACTACAAAGCAACCTCAGGCACCCCGATACCCCAAACTAAAGTCACCCCGGTATCGGATCGCGACTAGGATAACGATATCAAGTCCGCTACAGATCAAACCCGGACAGAACGACCACCTCAGTCAAAACTAACTCGGGACAAGTATGCCTCAGTGCAAGGTCACACCAGGATCACCTCGGTCCAAAGACACTTTGGCATTCATATCAAGGCAGACCTGAAGAGCATGAGCTCAGGTAGCTTGCCACTAGGCAGCCCGGTACCTTACAGGCAGCTCGCCTCCCATTCAGACCGACCACCGCATGGCAACCCCAAGGATCTCACCACCGTGTTCCACGTCTTACGGGATCGTACCTTGTAACGGCTATATTAGCTCACCCACTCCCCGGTTCAGACGGGAGCGGGCAACCTTACCGGTTGGTGGCGTTTTACCCACCTAACACGCAAGCGGATCCCATCACAGCGAGGATCTAGGAACCGCTCCACCTACCCACGGGGACTCCAGTATATAAAGACTTCACCCCCAGGGGCGAAGGTATGTTTTTATGCGTAATCTTTGCTCTCTAGTTCTCTAACTCACTATTATCATCTTCAAGCTCTCTACTACTGCTACTGTGTGCTAACTTAGCCATCGGAGTGTCCCCGCCGGGTAAGCCACCCTGTGATCTCTGACTCATCTCTTGTAGGTTACCCCAGTTCTCGTCGTTGCTAGCAGCCAGATCGTGTCCAACAGGGAGCAGTCGGATTACGCCACATCATTTGGCGTCGTCTATGGGAAATCGTTACTAAAAGCCTTTTATCTCCATTTCAAAAACCCCAAGCTCAAGATCAAACCCATGGCTTCCTCCAGCAATGTCGGACAGCACAATGAAGCAAACGTCTCCGGGGGGCAACCTCAGTTCCCATCTGTTTGCATAGCTCAGTTCACCATACCGCTCCCCGCGGGTGGGAGTCCAGCACTGACTGTGCCTCAACCAACTGAGCCTGTGAATGCCCCATTTCCCCCTATAGTGGGTGCGACCTCCGTTGAAACCTCTATAGTTCCCCTGGAGTCGGACAGAACCAACTAAGCGACCTGGTATACTGTGTGTGGGCTATTCAAACCCAAATGCATCAGGTCCAGCAGTTCTAGCAGTACCAACAGCAAATTCTGCACCACATGTACCAACAGTAGTTCCCACCGCTGCAGTAGAACCAACGACCAACCTTGCCTCAGTGTCCGATTACCCCGAGCAAGCCTTGCCACCAGAACAGCCGTCCTTGCCAGGGAGAGACTTCCTAGGTCTCGTCTCACGGCAGGAGGGAAAGACAAGTTGTTCCTCCTGTCTCCCAGCAAGTAAGCAGGTCAAGAGATACTCGACCCACCAAAACCAATCCACCTCGGCCCTCGCAACCTGAAGGCACTCTTGCAGGAAACCGGTTTGAGGTCCTAGACGAGGACTCCAGACAAGGCCTTTCTGTCCGTAGTAGCCAGTAGCCCGAATCGCTCCTGGCCAAGACACCGTTCAATAGCGCAGAGGTTAGCAGCACTGCCGCAGAGCCAGTCAAGCAGCAACGAAGGAGACGTGCTAGGGCACCTCGAGCAGTAGACCCAAGCCAGCTCGCGGGACCCAGCTGACCTAAGCAGCCTAAAGGTAGGGTGGAGGTAAGCTTGGGAATCACAAAAACCGCTCCCCTCCTCTCTGTACCCTCTCCGCTATCCCCTGAGCTCCTGGCCTCCCTGATGCCGATGAACTTCAGGGTCTCCCCCTGGATAAGTATGATGGGTCTTTCGACCCCAATGATCATGTAGATTCTTTCCAGTCCCATATGCACCTCGCTGGGGTTGACGAAGCTTGTATGTGCATTGCCTTCTCCACAACCTTCAAAGGGGTAGCTCGCACATGGTATAGAAACCTCGCGCCTGGGACAGTTAAAAGTTGGGCGCAACTCGTACAATTGTTCACCTCGCACTTCATCACCAGCAAGAAGTGTCCGAGGTCACAAGAAAGCCTCCTCAGTATAGTCCAGAGGGAAGGAGAGTCAATTCGAAGCTACATCAAACGCTTCAACGACACTTGTTTACTAATCTCGGACTTAGACCCCGTCATAAGACTCGCGGCAGCAAAGAAGGGGATCACCCACAGGGAATTCAAATGGCATGTGGTGGCAAACAAACCCAAAGACATCACAAAATTCCTTAAGCTCGTCGATCAGTTCATCGGGACCAAGGAGGAGATGAACCAAAGGACTGAAGCCCCAGCAGAGAAAAGAAAGAGAGAAGACCACAACTTGAACAACGGTGGCGGCAAGAGGAAGAAAAGCAAGTCTCCAACCAAGGGAGGGAATAGGTCAGATTTTCATCCTCGAGCTCCCCCGGTTGAAAGAACGAACTTCACACTCCTCAATGCGAAGCGAGGGGAAATTCTCATGGTGATCAAGGATGCCTCTTTTGTGAAGTGGCCGCCTCGGTTGAGGGGGGATCTGACCACTAGAAATAAAAATGTATTTTGTCATTTTCATAGAGATCGCGGTCATAGTACCGAAGATTGTAAAAAAATCCGCGATGAGATTGAAAAGCTCATCCGTCGCGGGTACTTGAAAAATTTTGTACAAAAATGTAATAAAAATCAGGCAGATCGGTAGGGGGAGCAAAGGAGAGATGCTCCCGATCCTAGCAGCCAGCGCAACGAGCAACCGCAAAGACAGCTGCCCGAAAAGAGACCAATCCGTGGGATGATTAGCACGATCACTGGCGGATCCATAGTCGCGGGCTGCACCTCCGCCGTAGGAAAGTCCTCAGTTCGTGAACTGCACCTCGAGCTAGAGCGACCTGTGGAGTATTTCGAGGAGCAAGCTACGCCAACCGAAGGGACGATCCACATCCCGACCTCAACGGAAGATCCAGCCAGGACCCTCTAGATCGGAGCAACGATCGAGGAGCCTCTCCGCTCTTGGCTAGTACGTTTTTTACTTAAAAATTTAGATGTATTCGCATGGTCCATGACAGAGATGCCCGGTATAGATGCTAAGATAATAACTCACAAGTTGAATGCTGATCCTTTAGTCAGGGCAGTTAGACAGAAAAAACGCAACCTCGCCCCGGAGCGCTGGAGGATAGTCGATGAGGAGGTCGGGAAACTCCTCACCGCCGATTTCATCAGGGAGGTCCATTACCCGAGCTGGGTGGCTAACCCCGTTCTAGTAAAAAAATGCCAACGGTAAATGGCGCATGTGCGTCGATTACACCGACCTGAATCGAGCTTGCCCAAAGGATTGTTTCCCACTCCCTAAGATCGACCGTCTAGTGGACGCGACCTCAGGGCACGAGTTGCTGAGTTTTCTGGACGCATACTCGGGCTATAACCAGATCAAGATGGACCCCGCCGATGAGGAAAAAACAACATTCATAACTGAGCTAGGATTGTATTGTTACAAGGTCATGCCCTTCGGGCTAAAAAATGCTAGGGCGACCTTTCAAAGACTTGTCAACAAACTGTTTGAGCCGTTGATCGACAATAAGGTTGAATGCTATGTAGACGACATGGTCGTCAAAACCCAGTTTTCAAACTGTTTAATAAGTGACTTGCAATGTGTTTTTGTAATCCTACGCAAGTATAGTATGAAGTTGAACCCTAACAAGTGTATCTTTGGTGTCACCTCGGGTAAATTCCTGGGTTACATAGTTAACCGGCGTGGCATCGAAGCAAACCCTGAAAAGATCAAGGCTATCCTAGATATGAAGCCACCTCGCAAGT